ATATCCATTAAAACAAATTAGTTACAGTTCAAGAAGAAACATAGAAACTCAATGAAAGCGATAGGAAAACTGAGAAAACTATTATGCAATTAAACATTACAATTTCAAATGGCAACAAAAAGATTAACAATAATGTACAAATAAATAAACCAGTAAGGAGAAAATGCAAGTGCATAGACGAAGGGATTTTCACCTTCAAGTATCTAGGTGAATAATACAGAAATCACTATTTCTCCATTAACAAAAAATAAAGCTGACCAGTAGGAAGTCCTACTTGATATGGGTTTCTTGTGAATTATCACTAGTCACCGAGGTGAATTTGTAATCTTAATGAAAATGATAATCAGTTAACACTTCACCGAAAAGTATAAATGAGCATTGATTGCACTAGCATGATGTCATGAAAGTGACCAGTAAAGTCACTTGCGGCTTCAAAAAATGTCTCGCATATAAACACCCGGTTTCTTCTGGCTCCTTACATCACATTAAAGCCCGTCAGTCTTCTCCAAGTGAACACGATTTTGACCATAAATGAAGACTGTTACGTCAGGAAACCGTGTAAAACTTGTGTGAGGAACGAAAGGACTAGTGGTTGGAGCATGTATATGAGCTGGAATCAGAAGCTGTACCTGGTAACTCCCGTAAGCTCTTGCATTTCATTCGAGCCACTCACAACATCGATCAGACTGTTCTGCCCTCTATCGCCTGTGATGACTAATCCACTTAACGAGGTGGAATTCTGCAAGAGCCACGAACCACCGCAACTAGGCAACATCTCCTAAGTCGCTTTAAAGATGGTGGTGACCTTACGGTCACGAAGATGAATGCGTTGTTTACAGATATCTTCCAACTAGACAGTTCATCAACATCATGGAATGAGTCGTCAGTCGTCCCTATCTTTATAAACGGTTCAAGTCGTCTTTGTAACAAATATCGGGCCATTAGTTGACTTCCGATTGCGTGCAAACTATTGACATCCGAACATACTTCGTGGACCGTTCGAAACTGGAGAAAGATTGACACGAGAGTAGCAGGTTTGCTTTCGTCTTGGTCGAAAAATGTGTTCATCATCCCTGTTCACCACTTGCCAAATGTCACAATATCGCCAAACTTATCTCAACTCAACTATCGTGGTGATTTTTAACATTATGGCTGCTTTCGTTTCACTGAAGAGGACTTCACTCTGGAATTGTATATTGGGGAAGAATGTGCCTGACAAGTTCATCAAAATCTTGAAAGCCTCAAGTATAATGAAAGAATACAACCACTTCTCTTTTCTGTTCTATTCAAGGAGTGGGGTGGTGCAAGGTTGCTCAATCACACCATCTCACTTTAACTTTGCTATCTATGGCGTTTCGGAAACAACCTCGACGGATGAACGTAATGGCGGTGTAGATCTGTTGCCTACAGTAAGACTTCTCAAACTTCAGTATGCGGATGATATTTTCTTACTGTACAATAATATCCACTAGTTCAGATGACAACTAGTGTCCGTAGGTATGGTTTGTGCTTTGCACCTTCAATGTGCAGAGAACTTTTACAGGTCCGGCAGTACTCAAATCTTGCACTCATTCTGGTTAGTAAGCAGATAGAAGAAGTTTAGAAGTTCGCATGTCTGGATAGCTGTATAAGTGCTGGTGATGGAGTGAGTGATGAGATCAATTCACGCATATTGAAATTCAGAGCGGCCTGTACCAATCTGGGACATCTTTGACATCTTCGTGATGTTGAGCCGGCTGATAAGTTCGGATCGTCAACGCGTCGGTGAGGGCAGTTTTACTCTGTGCTTTCGAAACATATTCTCTTCGAGTTGAGTATGCTAAGCGACTACCTGTTTGATCATCGTTGATTCCGAAAGATTGCCGACATCCAGTGACACGCGCAAAATTTGAAAGTGGTAACATTTTTTCACGTGGTTTAGAAATTCTTGGACTTGTTCTTTTGTAGGCTGTATTGTCCTTAGATTATCATTCTATTGCGTTTATCGCTCACACTTTACTCTAGGTTAATAAATTTTAACCGACACTTGCCCAGTTAATAGAGATTTCACAGATCAGTACTTCCCTATATTATAACTGAGCACTTTTTATCTGTAATACGTTATATACTAATAGTCTCTGATCCTAGTATTAACCCGGTTAATACGTAGAATTAATTATATACTCATATATCTGTTCGACATTTTTTTAACTCATACAGCTTCAAAATATGTCAAATAACTTGGGTAAAAGAGAGATTTCACCAGCTTTCAAGCCTATTAAAAGGTCAAAGTCCGTAACTCCTAAGACTGATGACTCAGTACCTGAAAATGATCAGCATTTATCCTTTGAACCCCATTCTACCTACCCACAAGTGTCACTAACACTACCTGATTCTCCAAGTAACAACCCCTCTATTTCTTCGTGCAGTATGCCAACGGTAAGACTAGTTGACATAAAAAGCGAAATGCCCACGTGCATCAAAAAGTCAACACAGTCCACCAGACCGCATGCTTTGCTTAGGCCTAGGTCCAATATACCAAAAACCAAGGAGTCTGTCATCAATTATTCAATGTGCACTTGTACAATGTATCGTTAAGCCGACGCATATAGACTTGGAACATAATCCGTCATTGATAGACCTTGTCCTCACACACCACTGTGAAGATATCGTTGACATTCAACATCTTCCCCCACTGGTGAATAGTGACCATGTCGTACTTTCCTTTAAGTTCCGGATACATGGTATAGAATTTGCATCAGCTCCACCCCGTCCTAATATCTGGAGAGCTAATATTCCGGCAATCAGGGACTATGCTATCTCAATTGACTGGTCGGTCGATGATGATGGATCGATTGATGATGCATGGAATAGGTTTAAGTGTACGTTCGAATCCGTAACTCAACCGTTTATCCCATGGTCAGCACGTAAGTTATCATATTGCCCTCCATGGATTAATAAGGAAACCCGGAGGCTGTTGAAGCGTAGGAAACACTTCTGGGACTTATTCTTGTCAACAGGACAGGCATCATTTAAGTGCGAATATAAAAAAATCCGGAATATATGTAAAAAGACCATAGCTAAATCCCGCACGGCTTACGAACGACAGTTGGCATACGATAGCCGTACCTGTCCGAAGCGACTGTTTTCGTACGTTAAAAGGCGGACGAAACGTAGTGATGGTATCCCCTCATTACTGTTAAGCGAAAATTCAGCTTTATTGGCTGAATCTGATCTGGCGAAAGCGGAGTTATTTGCTAACTATTTCAGTGAAGTCTACTCTACGTGTAGTGTTACAACTACTTGTCCCGTTGACAATGAGATACCAGCCATAGGACCTTTACACGTGACAGAGGATATTGTTCTTCCTTTGATAACTAACCTGAAACCTTGTAAGATACCGGGCCCCGATGGGTTACACCCACGTTTGCTGTCGTCGCTTGCGGACATTATCTCAAGACGGCTCACGATGCTCTTCAACATGTCCCTTTCACAGGCTCAACTACCTAGAGACTGGAAAGACGCCATAGTTAGTCCTATATTTAAGGATGGTCAGAGACGGATAGTATCTAACTACCGGCCTGTTAGCCTGACCAGTATAGCAGTTAAGTTACTTGAAAAATTAATTCGGGCTAAGCTACTGAGACACATTGATTCGTACAATCTGTTAACTCCCGAGCAACATGGGTTTCGTAACAAGCATTCATGCTTGACTAACTTACTCATTGCGAGAGAGGATTGGACAGCTGCACTAGACAACGGCCAGTCTGTCGACGTGATATTCATAGATTTTAGCAAAGCGTTTGATAAGGTTTCACACTTAGGTCTCATGCAAAAGCTCTCGAGCTTTGGTATAACAGGTGCTATACAGGAATGGATAGGAAGCTTCTTATGTGACCGCAGACAGAGAGTGAGAGTCAATGGAACTCTATCCGAATGGAAACCGGTCAAAAGTGGTGTACCCCAAGGCACCATCTTGGGCCCTTTACTTTTCCTTCTGTATATTAATGAACTATCTTTATTACTGAAGTCGTCGACGTTATTGTTTGCGGATGATGTTAAAATCTGGAGAACAATAAGAAATGAGACTGATCGTTGTTATCTACAAGCAGATTTAGACGAATTAGTTAGGTGGGCTCATGATTGGGGCCTGGAAGTTAATTCTAGGAAGAGCGTGTTCATGCACATCGGGCACGATATTAGTTACCACTATACCATTAATGGTACATCTCTGCCACGCGTTCATGCGCATAAAGACTTAGGAGTAATTATAAGTCACGACTTAAAAACTACAACGCACTGCAGTGTGGTTGCCTCCAAAGGCTATCGCGCGCTATGGTCGCTTCGCAGAGCATTTAAATGCTTTGACGAGGATATTTTTCGAATTTTATATCCCACCTATGTAAGGCCACACTTAGAATACTGTATCCAAGCAGCTATCCCTTGTCTGATAAAGGATACTAAATCGCTTGAGCGTGTCCAGCGTGTAGGGACAAAATTAGTAAAGGGTCTTTCCAAACTCCCTTACGATGAGCGTTTAAAACGTCTAAATCTTTTCCCCTTATCTTATCGTAGGACGCGAGGTGACCTTATACTGGCATTTCGTATCTTTAATTATGATCCGGGTGTTAATATGTCTTACCTTTTTGCTCCCTCCAGCACTAATAATCTCCGGGGTCATAGCAAGAAGGTTCTGAAACCGCGATCTAATAAATTAAGGGTGGGGTCCCGTTTTTCTCATCGAGTGCTCAATGACTGGAACGCTTTACCAGAACAAGTGGTATCAGCACCATCAGTGAACATTTTCAAAAAGAAGCTGGACCTTCACTGGAAGGAAATCTGTCAGGATTAACACAGGTTCATCAACCTACTATCCTTATTACTGAAGACTAACAGTGTATCTCACGTATACGAGAATGCTGATCGATATAGTACTGACATTCGTCAGTTACAAAACTCCCTATCCGAAATTTACAGTAAACTTAACCAACTAGCACCCCTCACACACATATGGGGTAATTATACCGAGAAAAATCTCGAACAACTCACTAAAGCTGAGTGTATTTTAGATTTTGTGGCTGAAGAAGTGACAAAAAGAATGATGTCTTCCCACAATGCAGTTGTTTACAATCTCCCTGATCGCATACACCCAAATAAGTTGAGGGACATCTGCCTTAAAGCATGCGATATGCTGAAGGTCAACTGCCAAGTCATCCGCCTTAGAAAAAAGTCGGATAGATTGACTTGCCCTCTACTATTTAAGTTTGGCTGTTGTAACGATGCTAAACAGTTTATTGATTTGAGCAAAAATATCAGCTCTTTAGTTCCATACAAAAGCATTAAAGTCACTCCTGACCTAACACCGTGTCAACGTCGTATAAGAAGACGTGAAGCAATAGAATCGTATGACAGAGTGATAGTAAAAAACCAGCTAAAGACAGTATGCAACAAAATGAATGATATAAAGTGCATGGATAACAAGCATGATGTTATACCACAAACGACTGGTCCATCCGTAGATCTAGATGAGTCTGCAGATCTGAAATCTTTGAATAAGATACGGTCCCCATCTGTCACTAAAAGGCGTGACGGCATCTCTGATCCCGGGTGTTCGCTCAGTATAATACCAAAATGTGGGCCGTGTAACGAAACACACCCAACTAAACATATTCATGTAAAATTTGGTTCCACAAGAGGATTCGAAAGAACCTAAGTTCATCTCACAGAGGCCAAGAAACCTTCATCTCTGACAAAAAAGACTGGGGAGATAAAATCCAAAATACGAAATAGGGGGACACGTAAGATTGAGGCCAACTGTTCTGTGAGTATCCCAACAACAGTGAATAGGTTCTATCCGCTGATATCATGTAACTTGCCATCAACACCTCGCACAATGGGTAGTACGCTTGAGCGTAACAAACCTTTTTACACACACACTCACAAAAACTATCAAAATACTGATCACTCCACTCACCTTCTTAAGCCTAAAACCGTTAATAAACATGGTAACTACAGGTTCCTCAGCCCACACCCTATGTACATTCCCCAGAATCACAATTGTAATTACTCTCAGAATGAGAACTTTCCAGTATCAACCCACCACATGAAGACGGCCTCCATATATAACAACAGTCGTAACCACTTCCAGTTACGAGCATCAGACCCCCTCATGCTCGCACTAGCGCAAATAGTTATAACAGAGGCTACGAGCTTAACCATCAAAACTGTCTTGCAAATAACAGTACACTTTACAGTCAACATGTACCAGATTTTTTTGGAATAAGGCCTCTAGTTGCACCCCTGTTGAAGCATATAGCCCTAGTCATTTCAAACCAAGTGCGGAACATAAACTCGCTTCCCCCGTACAGTTTGCATCAGAAAGTACTCCCACCCTTTCCTCCTGGATAAACTCCCCAAGCAACTTCACTAGCTCATTTGATACATGCCCCAGTAACTCTAGCTATCAAAATACAGAGCTATTGAAAAACACTCAATCCATTACTTCAAACATACATCACTCACGCGAGGCTCATGACATCTTTAATCGAGATACTCTCACTCACTTTAACTTAGTAGGCCACTTGTTTAATATGTGTCTTATCAACGCTAGGTCGATCTGCAATAAAAGGACTGATTTAGCTCTGTTTGCTTCCATATATCAACCATCACTTATAATGATATCTGAAGCATGGACTAACAGTAATATTTCCGATCTAAGTATATCTCTTGATAACTACCTCCTATATAGATGCGATAGATTGAAAGGACGAGGCGGAGGGTGCCTTATTTATGCTCACTCTAGCTTAAACTCACTACTAAGCGATATACCTGAACTAAACAAACTGAAGGACTCGGTGTGGATTGTTTTAAAGCCATCAAATTCCATTACCTTACTGTTCGGCTGTATCTACCAGCAACCTAACTTGGCAATAGGTGAAATAGCAGTATTATAAGAGGTATTCACACTAGCATCATCCCTTCCATTCACAGGCAAGCTCATTTGTGGTGACTTCAACATGCCTGAAATTTCTTGGTTTCCAGTCAAAGCTCCGAAACGTTATGAATCATTTATTGAATGTCTAGAACTAGGACAGTGGACTCAATATGTTAGTAGCCCTACCAGACATCAAAATATCTTGGACTTAGTCTTTACCAGTGGCCTCACCCCCAATACTGTGTATATTGGAAAAAAGTTCCCAGGTAGTGATCATAACACTGTCGTATGTAGCCTTAATATAAAAAACACAAACGGTAGACGTAAAAATGTAACCCTTCGTAGAAACTATCGTAAGGTAGATTGGAATAATTTTCACAATTACCTAAGAACCACTGACTGGGGAACATTCTTTACTGCAAACAATACCGACACACTAACCAATATATTTTATCACAACATCGAAAGTATCATGAACAAAATCGCACCTTTAGAGTACTGGAGACCTAAGTTTTCTAAAGATCTGTTTATACCGGCCGGTACACGAAGACGTCTGCAGAGACATTGTACTCGCTTCCACAACTCTAATAACTCCTCCTCTTTAGTAACGATGACAGAAATACTTGTCCAGACAGACGCAATAAGTACACAAAAAGCAATCGAACAGGAAAAACGTGCTGTCGAACTTAGTAATAACTCCTCAGCACTCACCACACTCTTTCAAAATAAAATTAAACGTTCTAAGTCGAGAGGAAACATATTTATTAAAGACAAACAAGTATACGAAGATCCTAAACTTGTTACGGAACTATTCAATGAACACTTTTGTTCCTCATTAACTGATGAAAAACCACTTAATGATTCAGAACTTATCACAGCATCTGCCTGTGAGATTACTAACGTAGACTTCAATGTACAGAATATCTCTAAGGCAATTAGTACACTGAAACACTCCTACACTGATGGACCAGATGGTATTCCGGCTAGCATGCTAAAACGTGGAGGCGATGATATGTGTGTTTTATTACTCAAACTATTTGCGATATCACTCTCTACAGCGCATTACCCTACTGCCTGGAAAACTACACACATCATTCCCAAAATTAAAACAGGACCTGAAGCAAATGTTGAAAATTACCGACCCATAAACATAACTTCAGTGGTGTCTAGAGTGATGGAGAAAGTAGTTAAAGCGGCGTTAGTCCAACATGTAATTACTAATAATCTCATCTCGGTCTCCCAACATGGATTTCTTAGGTCCAGATCATGTGATACATGCCTAGTGGACTACATGAATGATATAACTCTAAAACGAGACAATGGACTCCTTGTATCAGTCATATTTTTAGACTTTAAGAAAGCTTTTGATAAGGTTCCACACGAACGGCTACTAGCCAAACTACGGTCCTTCGGAATCAACAACCCACTCTATTCACGGTTTGTTTCATTCTTAAAGGGACGTAAACAAATGGTAAAGTACAACGACTGTCTCTCATTACCTAGACCAATAACTAGTGGCGTCATCCAGGGAAGTGTATTAGGCCCACTTTTGTTTCTCATGTATATAAACGATATATGTAGCATCATAAAATCTGGGAAACCATACTTATATGCTGATGATCTCAAAATAGTATACAGCTATAAGCCTGAGGCTCTAAGTGAAAGTGTACCCCTGATTCAAGATGATCTCAATAACCTAACTATCTGGAGCGAAAAGTGGCAATTACCATTTAACCTCCACAAATGCGGGATCATGCACTTTGGAAAGCACCCCTATGAACCCCAACTTTACTTAAATAAAAGTAAAGTCCAGACACTTAATTCAGTACACGATCTAGGAATAAATTACACAGGAAGCCTAAACTTTAGAGCACACGCCTCCTTTATTATTTCTAAAGCCAGACGTCTAATTGGCTTCATAACCAAAAATTTCTTCACGACAGATGCCAAGCTTACTCTCTACAAAATATGTGTACGACCTTCCTTAGAATACTGCTCTTTTATCTTCTCTAATATGAATACCACTGACAAAATAAGAGTAGAAGATGTTCAAAGACGCTTTACACGCCAACTGCTAGGAAGTGACACCACTCTTGATTACACAAGTAGATGTAAGCACTTCTCTTTAGAACCTTTATGGCACCGTAGGTTAAGGAACAATCTGATATCTCTCTACAAAGCAATAAATGGACTGTCATTCCTAACCTCCTGTCCAACTATGATCAATGACCCAGCCTATAGACTAAGAAACAATGCATATACACTATTTACCGAAAAACACCAAAAACAAATGCGTTGTTTTTTTACAGTTCGGTATAGTTTATTGTGGAACAGGTTGCCAATACCTATCCGTAACTGTGACACCTTTACCAAATTTAAAAGGCTAATAACCCTGCTACTAAACTCTAAAGAACTTCACCAACTATTCCTTGAACTCCCGCCTACCAATGAGGCACTTTATTATGGACCGCCCAATATCTAGACGGAACAAAAATATAACGAACTTTATTGTCGTTAGTATGAATATAGCAAAACTAAAGAAAACATGCTTTATCCTTCCCCATTATTTATTGATTTTTAACCATTGCCTTCCGCTTCTAACCCTCATTTTCAGTTTCCGAATCTCTCTAATGGATAAATCCAAATTATTCTTCCTAAGTGTCATGTCCTTTTGTTTTTCTTATTACAAGTAGACAGATAACTCACTAATCTTATGGATGCTGACCAACTAAGGCCGATCAAAAGAAGCTCATACGTCCTAAATTCTTGTGAGTTGTTCAATGTTTTATTTTTTCTTACCCTGAAAATTTTACAATATTTACTATCATATCCTCTGGTTTGCTATTAGCCCTTACCATCTCTTAACCACATATAATCTGACTTGTCTCTTCTAACCTTTACCATTAGTTATCTTCATAGTAGTACGATATATTAAATGGATATCTAACCCATAATACAAATGCTATAACCATCTGATTTGCTTGTAACATGGAACTTATAGAGACAGTGTATTCCAAATATTACTTACTTACTTACTTTCGCCTGTTACTCCCACTGGAGCATAGGCCGCCGACCAGCTTTCTCCAACCCACCCTGTCCTGGGCCTTCTTTTCTAGTTCTTTCCAGTTCTTGTTCATTCTTCTCATGTCTGTCTCTATTTCTCGGCATAATGTGTTCTTTGGTCTTCCTCTTCTCCTTCGACCTTCAGGATTCCGTGTGAGGGCTTGTCTTGTGACACAATTGGGTGATTTCCTCAAAGTGTGCCCAATCCACTTCCAGCGCTTCTTCCTGATTTCTTCCTCCGATGGATGGAATCTGGTTTGTTGTCTCCCACAGTAACTTGTTGCTGATAGTGTCTGGCCATCGGATCCGAAGTATCTTGCGTAGACATCTGTTAATAAACACTTGTATCTTCTGGATACTGGCTTTCGTAATTCTCCACGTCTCTGCCCCATACAGAAGAACTGTCTTCACATTTGTATTGAAAATTCTAACCTTGGTGTTGGTTGACAATTGTTTTGAGCTCCAGATGTTTTTCAGCTGTAGGTATGCTGCTCTTGCTTTGCCCATCCGCGCCCTCACATCTGCATCTGATCCACCGTGTTCATCAATGATGCTGCCCAGATATGTAAAGATTTCCACATCCTCCAAAGCTTCTCCATCAAGTGTAATTGGATTGGTGCATATTGTATTGTATCGGAGAGTCTTGCTTTTCCCTTTGTTTATATTGAGACCTACTGCTGCTGAGGCTGCTGCTACACTGGTCGTCATCTCCTGCATTTGTTGTTGCGTTTGTGATAGAAGAGCCAGATCATCCGCGAAGTCTAAATCGTCAAGCTGCATCCTGCCTGTCCACTGTATCCCGTGCTTTCCTCCAGATGTTGACGTCTTCATAATCCAGTCGATCACCAGGTCCTTGATAAAAGCAATATTCATACCGACCACAAACGTAAGAGAGCCTAACATCATAAAAGGAGGGAGGGTGGCGTTACTGACCAGCAAACATGATCGTGGGGAGATAACTTCAATCCACCCGTGTCTGTGGGGCAGAACATATTAATTACGGCTCCTTATGTCTAGTGGGATGTCACGAACCAACGGTATTGATGCGAAATTATTCATGCAAAATACCACTTTGAATCGTGTTAAAAAAAGCTGAATTGGTTCCACTTCCTACCAAGTAATCCTAATACAAGCAAACTAGACAATTGGCTAAAAACGAAGCCCACTCTATACCCTAAAAAATCTGAAAACAAAAAAAAGAGAGTTCAAACAGCTTCGAAAAAAAGGGAGATAGCCATTTGTATCGGAATACTGTTTTCAGCACTCTATTTTATAATTACACAATTCCATACTTCCTTCTGAACTACCTTCATTTAAACAGTTCCTTATCCACTCATACCTTGCCCACACTTATTTTTCTTTAACACATTAGTATGTTCTTACCCAATAAATACTTCACTAACAGATAAATAGACTAAATGGTTATACCTTAACTATTCCTCCACGAATATTGTGTGCTCTGCTTTTCGTCCTTTTTCTTACACCTTTTTCAGCCTCCTGGAGATACTCCATCGAAAACAGAAATGGCACGGGTGACTTCGTCCTACACCGTTATTAATGCTTCCGATATTCCGGAGGGATATAAGTTCGAAACTTCTAAAAGCCCCCAACTTCGCATGTATCTATTCTCGACCATCAGCTGTATGTTGCAACGCTACCTCCATAAAGTGCGCCGTGTGATCAGTTTCAGTTTGGAAAGGACAGGAGGCTTGATGGCCTGTGTTAGTCCTGGCAATGATGGTCTCTCAGCTGATCCAACTTTCTTTTGAAGAAGTCGACGGATGGAGCCTCAACCACGTGCTGAGGTAATGAATTCCACTCGTTGATTATTCGATGGGAAAGTCGGTAGTCAGCTGACAAGTAATTCGTTCTGGGCTTGTGAACTTTTTTGGAGTGTCCTCGTAGATTTTCTGTTTTGGAAGACAAGAAAAATGAGGGCATATCAGGTGCAAATTTGTCATTAAGCAATTTGAAAACTGTAATCGAATCGCCTCTTATTCTTCTATATGACAGCGGGAATAGGTTTAGCTTGGTCAGTCTAGTACCATACGGGAGCTTCGCTATTCCGGGAATCAGCCTAGTTACTGTTCTCTGAACCCTTTCCAAGAGTTCACTGTCTTTTTTCAGGCAGAGGCTAGCTGCTTGTATGCAGTACTCAAGTTTAGGACGTACGAACACTGTATACAAAGTCAGAAACGTTTTAGCGTCGAGATGCCTAAAAGCCCTGCGTATGGACCATAAAGTCCTAAAACCTTTGGCGGCTATTGCACGGCAGTGTGCAGTAGTTTTCAAGTCTTGACTAACGATGACACCTAAGTCATTGTGTGCCTGAACAATAGGTAACTCAGTGTTATTCATCGTGTATGTATCTGTACCCTGGTGGCCAATATGCATCACAATACACTTGGAAGTGTTTATCGGCAATTGCCAGGTTTGGGACCATTCAGATAATCTCTCCAGGTCATTTTGAAGCTCTAAGCTATCGCTCTTGCTTTGTATCGCTCTCCATATCTTGACATCATCAGCATAGAGTAAGACCGATGACGATAGTAGACGAGGGAGATCATTTACGTACAGGAGGAATAACACGGGCCCCAAAACTGTACCCTGGGGGACTCCACTAAGCACAGTTTCCCAGCTAGACAACTTGGAGTTCACCCTTATCTTTGTTGACGCCCAACTAGGAAGTCTTTTATCCACATCAATAGATTACCTCCAATCCCGACATTCCTTAGCTTATATAACAGCCGGTTATGCGGAACTTTGTCGAAAGCTTTGCTGAAATCGATGTAAGCTACGTCTATAGGTAATTTTTGGTCCTTAAGAGCGCACCAGCTTTCACGAGCGACTAATAAGTTTGTGAGACAAGAGTAACCTGTTCTAAAACCATGCTGCTTTTCGGAGAGGATCCGAGTTTCATCGAGATACTTTAACAGTTCCTTCCGAATAATCTTTTCTAAGATTTTAACAACCATACTAGTTAGGCTAATTGGTCGGTAATTCTCAGGCTTATGTTTTGTACCTGTTTTGAAGACTGGACTTACTATGGCGTTCTTCCAGTCTTTTGGTAGACGACCCTGGGTTACGGATAGATTAAAACATACACTTAAAGGGTTCGCAACAAAGTTAGCTAATTCCTTTAGTAACCTAGGATGCAGTTCATCAAGTCCAGTGGATTTACCTATGTCAAGCTTAACTAGAATACCAAAGACATCGAGTTCTTTAATGGTCACGCTGTCCAGTGCTTGTGTGAGGGGATTTTCATGGACTGGTGAGAAGGGTGTTTCTACGGTGTATACATCGCTAAAGTATTTGGAGAATACTTGGGCTTTGCCAAAGTCGTCCTCCACTAGTGATGTGGCAGTACTGTCTCCCCATAGTGAAGGAACATTTCTTCTTCTTTTTGTCCTTTGGTTTATATACGAATACAAGCGTTTAGGGCATTCTATGGATTCCCTAACGATTTTCTCTTCGTACAGCTTTCTGGCCTTACGGAGGGTTGAGGCACAGGTATTTCGAACCTTTTGATACTGAAATTTCGCCTCGCCAGTCCCCAGTAACCTAAATCTGTCCCACATTTTCCTTCTTTTACGGAGAAGGATGCGAACCTCCCTACTGAACCACGGTGGGGAGTTTCTCGGTCTCTTAGGTGAAGTCCAAGGGATGTGGGGGGCGGTAACCTTTAAGTATAAACTCCGGAATACGTCCCAAGCCGTTTCTATTGATGACTCTGGGTTTATTTTCCAATCTACTGATGATTCTGAGTGCATGATGTCTTGTATGTTTGCTTTCCAGACGTTAGGTCTGGACTGAGCTGAGGCGTACTCGTGATCGACAGTTATATGGAAGTCAAAGCTTAAAACTGCATGATCACTTTTGCCTAGGGGTGGCATGTAATCCAGGTTTGCAACATCATCCTCATAATGAGTCAATATAAGATCTAGTAAGGATGATGCAGAACCCGGGTCGTACCTAGTTGCTTCCTTCACGTGTTGCACTAGAGCACATGTGAATACCTCATCAACTAGTTCCTGTTCGAAGGAATTTGCTGACGATTCAGTCCGCAGATTTCCCCAGTCCCACTAGTTAGGACCAAAGTACTAACAGACACAATAGAAAAAACAAAGGTACTCTGGAGTACCGACGATAAAACTATTTTGGATACCAAAAATGATGCTCTAATAGAATACTTTAACTGAAAGAAATTCAATCAAATTATAAAAACAGTAGTCTTGATACGTTAATAACGATCAAAACAATAGAATTTACTCAACGAGGAAAAATACCACTGTCCTTTTTAAATAGCGCGCAGATCATTTTGAGGGGGCATATTGATATGTTCCTTATGAAATCCATTTACATTCATATCTTATGAAATATCAACCCGGCTGAGTAGTTTTCAACAGTGAAAATTGTAACTTCTTTAACAATTTGATCTTGCCTGTAAACCGGCACGCCTCATGTAACAATCTGTTATTTGAGAATAAATTATTATTATAAATACAATATTGGTAGCGTAGAAGTTCTGCAGTTTGTATTCAGACACTGCGACGATAATTCAGTTAGTATCACTATCTTGAATCGTCGACTTCGGTGGCTCGGACATGTCTTTCGAATGTCGTTCCTGAGAATCTGATGTCGTGCATTATTTGCCGACGCCAGGACTGGTTGGAAAAAGCGGATAGATATTCAATTTACCATATTGTTTCATTGTGTGAAATAAAGCTGCACAAGGCTGGCCTGTCTTGGTCCTTCATGACTACCTGATTAAGGTCTTAGAGATATTGTGTCACAGTGACTAGAGAAGTTATTAGATATGGCTCAGAATAGAAGCCAAGGACGATCGTGCGCCAACTCTCATTTTTTTGAAGAAAATAAACATAGCTTTTCTAACTGAAAGAGCTCTTTCTGATTGTCTTTTCGCTAACTGAACTACCTCTCCCATAATTGTTACTTCA